CACCAATAACTTAAACAGGCACAAGAGGGGAGCCCAGAACCCATTAACGTGCATGAATGCGTCCTATATACATATACATGCATATATCTTGATCAAGTGTATGTATCTTATTATAAGTAGTTAGCTAGCTAGCTAGCTAATGTAATTACTGTTAGTACTTTATAATCTAAATAACCTGGAGGGGGTTAAAAGATGAATGATTAATGATTAATGATTAATGGGGAGGGGGCCAGCCCATAAATATATATGACTACTTAGTGGGAATTATATGATGTCCCATTAATGCACAAAAAGAAAAGAAAAGAAAAGAAAAGAAAAGAAAAGAAACAAGGAATATATATATATATATATATATTGCTTCATCATCATCTTCAAAAGTTGTTTCCAGGCCTGTTGTTGTATGTATTGTGTTGTATTGTATACCTTCTTTATTATCAAATCAAAATCAAAATCAAAATCAAATCTACATTATATATTATTATTATCAGTGTCACAAATATATATCCTTAAACACCCACCACCACCACCCCTTTCATTTTCTCTTTCATAGACTCCATAAATACAGGCTTCATAGACTCCGATCCGCACAAATACAGACCTGCAGAAAAGCTCGTTTATATAGATAGATAGCTTTTGGAGTTAGTTGTTGCAGCTGCAGATTGTTAGTTTTGAGAGAGCTTATCTATCCATCAGAGTTGCATCCCATATATATCTATCTATCTATACAGCTTAACAAGTAAGCTAATACATACACACATATATCCACAGAGAGAGAGAGAGAGAGAGAGAGAGAGAGAGAGAGAGAGAGAGAGAGAGAGAGAGAGATGAGTAGTTCTAGTAATAGTAATAGTGCAGCAGCAGGGTCTCCACACCAATATCCCCAAGAAATTCAACTAAAGCTGTATCAGGCTTTTATATTTTCAATTCCAATTTTGTTCTCTATAATTCTTTTTCTTTTGTTCTATTTGTTCTACCTCAAGAGAAGATCATCATCATCACCCTCCCTTCTTCCACGCACTTCTATCAACAACTACCCTACCACCACCACCACCATCATCTCAACCGTAAGCACCCGGCCACCCTACCATATTATTTTTATTTAACGTAACTGCTTGATGATTGTGTGTGTCTGTACTCATGAATGATGGCGTATTTATATAAATTATTCCGTACGTGCAGAATAATAGTGATGCGGAATATATGAAAAATGAGCAGAAGAACAAGCTTTGCACAGTTTTGTTCGATGAGTACATGAAAACAAGGGATTCCTCGTAAGTTCTATTAATTATCCCCATCATTCATTCATTCATTCATTCATTCATTCCAAACTGGAAATACAAAGAAGCTAAGGTTGTTGATGGTTTAGTTTATGGTTTGGAGGATCGGAGTAGGACATATGCTTAAAGCCCACTAACAAATGGAAAAAGTCCCACTCATCTTCTGCAATCATTATCAACTACTACTGCTACCTACTTGCATGCTCTATAGCCACTTTCACCCTTGAGGTTTTTTTTTCTTAATTTTTTAATTAAATAATATTTTCTAAAATGATGAGATGAGATGAGATGAGAATCTTTGTATATTGTCCACTCTTTAGAGAAGATAGATAAAAAGATGCCTTTCTCTCCCATCCCATGTAAAAAAGCAGAATAAAGGTAAAGTAGCAGCAGCAGCAGCACTACTAGTAGCTAGTACATGCATGCAGAAGAATTTGTTGTATATTATTAATAATGAATGAATGAATGAATGAATGAATGAATGAATGAATGAATGAATGAATGAATGATTGAAGAATAATGAATGAATATAATGTCGGATGCAGGTGCTGTGTGTGCTTGGGAGAATTCGAGGTGAAAGAAGAGTTGCTTCAAGTAGGAACATGCAACCATATATTCCACATTGACTGCATTCGGCACTGGCTACATAACAATTCTACTTGTCCACTCTGTAGATCCCCTGTTTTTCTCTCTCCTAACTTCTTCACCTCCAAATCACACCACCATCTCTCTCCTAATTTGATGCACCACACACTCACTACTACTCTTATTATTACAAATACAAGTACAACACCCTCCTCTCAGGCCTCATCAACTGCTGCTACTGCCGGAACCACCACCACCACCACCACCACCATATGTTAAACATTTCAGATTATTTTTATCTCTACTCATTCATCTATGATGTACTTCAGTACTTGTAATGAAATGCATCACTTTTTTTTAGCTAAAAAGAGAGAAAATGAGAGATATGCACCTTTTGTTTTCTTTTGGTACCATATATTTCCATCGTTTTTAGTTTCATTCTTTGCAAATTTCATCCCACCGCCTCCTGTAATTGCTCCCTAATTCTTCATTTAACCATCTTACTTACCCAACACAGGTCTTACAATATCATACTTTTACTGTGTTTTTCTAACAAAATCAAACTTCACACCAATTTTTTTAATACAAGAGCCAAAGAAGCATACGTATGATACATCATCAAGTGGAGTTATTTACGCATTTTACATTATAAAAAAAAAAAAAAAAAAAGTTAGGGGTGTTACGCAATTTGTGTAAAATGGAAGGGCTAATTTACAATTTTCCCATAATAAACAAACTGGACTCACTCGAGTGAACAAGAAGAAGAAAAGGAAATGGATTTGAAGATGGAAAATTAATAATAAATTGTTGAGATTAATACCTGTAAAAGATTAATCCGTCCGGCAATAATGACGGCAGCGAATAATACTCCGGCGAGCAGCGGCGGCAGCCAGGCCTACGGAGAAGCATGGTACTGGGACAATCGGTACACACACGATCCATCCACCTTCGATTGGTACCAAAAATACGCCTCCCTCTCCCCTCTCATCCGCCTCTACGTGCCTCGCCGCCACCCTATTCTCGTCGTCGGCTGCGGCAACTCTGGTGCGTCTCCTTTTTTATACCCATTTTGACTTTCAGCTATTCTTTTGCTAATTCCTTTAATCTTCCATCTCTTTTTGTCTTGATTCTAAGTGCATTACGATTGATTTGTTTCTTATTTTGAAGATTTATTCTCCAATCGAATCAAGCTACTTTTTATTATTTTATTTTTTTTGTGTTGTAGACCTAGAACATTTTTTTGTCCCTTATTTGTCATAATATATTTTTCTTGAGTCGGAAAAACAAGCACTGAACAAGTTTGTAATTTGATATTTAGTTGATAAGAACCAACTCAAAGTACTGCATTGTTTGTTTCTGCAGCGTTTAGTGAAGGCATGGTTGAAGATGGATATGATGAAGTTGTGAATGTTGATATCTCCTCAGTGGTGATTGAAGCTATGCAAAACAAGTATTCTACTTGCCCGCACCTCAAATGTATCTTTCATCTCATTCTTTCTTTTTTTTTTTTTTGAATTAATTACTATAGTTAGAACATGGTGGAGGATGGGTAAAAACATTGCACTGAATTACCTCGAACAGCAAAGAAAAGGCAAACGAAATTACTTAACTGTTGTCTAACACCTTATGAATTGCGTAGTTCTGTCAACATTTCTTAATGTCTGAGCAGATATGATGATGGACGTACGAGATATGAGTGCCTTCGGCATTGGGACCTTTGCTGCTGTTATAGATAAAGGTACTGTTTTATCAATACCAAAATGTGTTTTCACTAAAGATTACTAAACACAGCAGTTTCTGAATATTCCTTTTTCCTACAGGGACGCTCGACTCTCTTTTGGTAAGTTGTCTATATTACATTAGGTATTCCTTTCTAGCTAGGGCTTTATTGTTACTTAAGCTCAAGTATCTCGCTTTTCTCGTGCAGTGTGGACACAACTCACGGGACAATGCAGCTAAGATGCTTGAGGAAGTGTGGAGGTACAAACTCAAAATCTCTAAGCTCATTTCTTTACTTCTCTTACTTGATGTTGTTTTACCCGTTTCACTCTTTCCCTAAGTTGAAGCAGTTGATGACAAACTATAGGGTCCTCAAGGATAAAGGAGTATATATTCTGGCAAGTTACCTCATTCTCATCCCTTCCCCAGCCCGTTTTTTTTTTTTTTTTTTTTTTTTTTTTTTTAACTATTTTATGGTGGCTGAGATCTTGGTTTCTTGTTTTATGCATATGCAATTTGCTTGTGTTTTTTCCCTGCCTCCTAACACAGGGGTTTCATATTTATAGATTACATATGGATCACCAGTTTATCGACTATCATTATTGAAAGAATTGAACTGGACAACGAAGCTGCATGTGATAGGTTTGTTGGAACGTAACCATGCCCATATACTGCTTACAGGATTCTCATTCTCCTTGCTTGTCTTAAACATAAAAAATAAAAATTGTCTATGGATTGAACTGCCGAAGATCTCTGTAACGTGATGAAATGCAGGTAAACATCAATCGGAAAATAGTTCAAATTGGAGCAGGGAGTTGACCTCTCCCGTCCCATTAGATGTGAATGGAAGCTTCTCGGAAGCTGTGGGAATGAACGCTGTTGTTCACTATATTTATGTATGCATAAAGGTTAGTTAGTTATCTGTGTCTGTTTGGCCATTAGTAGTACACCTGAGCAGATACAGTACTAAGCTTTTAAACGTGCAGGATGATTCTTCTGGGAAGAGTGAAGAAGCATAAGCCTGTAAGAGGAATGACGATGAGAGACTAGATTACTAGGATTATAAATTATTGATCATTGTGAATAATAAATAATCTGAGGATGAGAGTGATTATTGCTATTTAGCAATTTGAGCTGTGACCAAATACTTGGGAGGTTTGTGGAAGGTTGTTCTTCTAGTGTGTATTGCTTAACATTCTTCTGTTTGGCTGCAAATTAGCCTTTTTTCTTTATATATGTGTGTATCCATTATAATTCTTGAATTGATTAAATTTCTGATGGACTACCAGTTCCTTTTACAGACAGAAATGAATTATCATAGATTCAGTGCTGGATTTTATTATTGAAATGGTTCGGTTATGCATTAAATCGTGGAAGCATTCTGCATGCTATAAATTTTGCACACTATAGATTCAGGACTGAGAAAATCTTAAATTCTAGCCCACTCACTTTATATTACACAATACTTGCACAGAATATACAGATACAGCAGAATAAGAAACTTATCAACACATTATTTTAGCACGTTCCAAAACGTAAAATAAATCAAGAAAAACCACATTCATTTTCAATCAATGAATGTATCTACTAACACTTAACATCATACCTAGAGATTATTGCCATCCATCAGAGTTTCCTGACTTTTACTGGAAGAGAATTTCCTAACCATCACAAATGGTTTTGATTAGGGCTTCTGTTTCCTGCCAAATGTTGTATAAAACTTAATAACGTGATGCGTAAGATTACAACATAAAATGACCTTTTCAACCAGTACCTGAAATCACCTTTTAACTTTGTTCTCATCAGGGTAGGTGCCATCAGGCCTACGATACTGAGCAAGTTGATTATTGATTCTTGAAAGCGCCTTTTGTGAGTGGACCAACCGCTCCCCAAGATCGTAATCAAATGGCCTCACCGAGCTACTACCCGTTTGCGGTTGGTTACGTCGTTGGGCCTCCTTCATGCTGAATAGCCTTTTCACCATGCCATCTAGTTCCGCAACCCTCTTCTGTAGATTTGATTTGTCCATCTGTAAATATTTTAGCAGTTAATCTTAATATATATTATAAACCTTCAGCATATCATTCTGTTACAATACAATGTGTAACATATATATAAACCTTCAGCATATCATTCTGTGCAACCAACAATTGATCTCGCTCTCGTAATTGTTCCACAACAATCTGTGTACCGAGTTGATCTGCTTTGTTTCTTTTGATTTCTGAAACACATCTGCAGGAAAACATTATCAGCAATTCCCAGCTAATAATACCAAATAAACCTTGCAAGGTTTAACAAAGAACCACCAACCTGAGATAGCTCTGAAATACTAATCAATTACATTGACTAACAGGTGATATTTTACCTTATATTAGCATTAAGCATTCTTAATGGAATATTTCAAGTTTAACTCCTGATTGATATAGAAAAGACAATGCAAATTACCTATCTCTTTCTTCCAGTAAATCATCAATCTGACTCCTCAGGTAGCTAATTTCTTGCTCCTAATCACGGAAAATATATTAAAGCCATGAAGCCAAAACCAATGAAATCACAAAACAAATCCTGTAGAAGTATACCATTGCAACAAATTCTTGTCTATAATGTTGAGCCTCTTCAATTAACTTTTGAAGTTGATGTTGGTCGACTATATTCTACAACAAAACCACAAGGTTTTTTCGCATATTAGATTAGAAAGGGAAACCTGAACCAATATTTTTTTACGCAAGCCTAAACTTACAGCATAATTTGTGATATCCAATTTGACACTGAGTAAATCACGAATGACATCGTGTGTCATACTTTCAGTATTGGCCAGCCGAGTATTCAGCATACACACCTGAGGCATAGTGGATGGACATCTGCTCATTAGATGAAACTCATCACAACAAAAGGAAGTAATACATGGCATTGAAAATAAAAGAGAGATCATCGATACCAATAGCAATAAACACGATTTCTTTGTAAATATAAGTAGCAGAACAGAAACGTTAGAAATAATAATATCCCCTCCCGACAAAAGAGATAAGCTGCATGATGGTGCTAGGCTGGCAGACTCACATGAAAACATGATGGTTGGAAAAGTTTATTTACCTCTTTATACCTACTGGCTGCCAGTGCCTCTAGCTCTTCTATATGAAGTCTAGCACTTGCTAATTCCTGATCTTTCTCTTGATTCATATGCTGGACCAGTCCAGAGATGCATCTAAATGGTGAACTCGAACCTCTTGTCCTTGCTGAGATTTTATCAACTTTTTCTACGGTTGATGTGGCAGATACATTTGATAGATCTGGTTTAACTTCGTGAAGCATTGCTTCCAGGGTCTTGTACTAATCATAAGACACAAAGTAAGTGACAGTAAATGAAGAAAGTTTGTTAATGAACAAGAACCAAATACCAAACAAAACAAATGCAGGTTTACATATCGGTGGATGAGATTGAACGCAACAAACTTTGTGATTTTTCAACTCCATCGACTTCTCTTTTTGTTTCCTTAGAGAAAACATTTCAGGCTTATCTTGAAAATTGGCATTCAGAGAATTTTGATAATATGAAATGGATTCTGAACTAATAAGGTATGTAAATTGACATAGTACCATCGTGAGTTTTTTATGGACACTCGTTTAGCTAAGTTTTTTTTTTAATAGTTTAAGTTCTAATGTTAACCAAAAATAGGTATGCTTGTGGTGTCTGTTCCCAACACATTCCATAAGAACAAGCATAGGGGCCGTGACTTTACCTTATGTTGATACTGGGATGCCTGTGCTTCAGCATGCAAAACAAGTTCAGAAATATAATCTTTGAATTGTCTGATCTGCAGTGTATGTCAAACAATTGGCATCAGCATACAAGAAAGAACACTATGACATTACCTAATTATAACCAATGGCAACTAAACCTCCTTAGCTTGTCTCTTGTTCTCCTCTTCAAGAAATTTTATTTGGCTGCCAGCCTCATTAATTTCCAGGATTCTGGCATGGGATTTCCTGTAAATAATTTTTTTTTATGCCTGAAATAATTTTGAAAGTTATAAATAACATGTTCATACAAATAAATGATTCTTCTACCTGGAAAAATGATGTTCAAGTAGTGATGTACTTGAGGTCTCACAAGCCATACTTTCAGTAAGGTCCTCAACAGTTAATAATCTGTGTCTAAGTGCTTGAAGTTCCACTTCCAATGAATCCCTTATCAACCTTTGTTTTTCTACCTCCTCTTCCATTTCATTCACCTAAAATATGAAAAAAATTAAGGCAAGTCTCAAGTAACAAACAAATAACAGAACAGCCATTATGAGAGTACAAGTTCATATAAGAGTTACCCTTCAGATTCAGAAGTGATAAAAGTTGCAGGTGGACAGCATAACAAGTAATGAAAATTCATCCATCTAGTAGTTCAATTGCAACTCATTAAACTATTCAAATTAATTTTTAATTTAATTAGAGTCCAAAATGGACTTACTTTCTTCTCCAGTACGTTTATGGTGCTCTCAAGCTCCTCAACAGAATGTTCCAAAATCTTGACCTCCTCTTCCTTTTGCTCAGCATACAGTTTCCTGGTCTCTGACTCCTGGAGATTTAAACTTGAGTTCCAAAGTAGAGTTGAAACTTTTTACAGAGTTAAATGCTTCCAGCTTAACATACCTGACGGGCTTCGGCAGCAATAGCTTGGTTCTCGTCTGCTAAAGCAGAAACCATATCAAGATTGTATTGCAAAGAGGTGAGCTTTTCGACAAGTTCATCTCTCTCTGAAGTGGACTCTGCTAAGGCAACCTCAGTATCTTCCACCGAATGAAATAGTCGTTTATCTGGTGACGAATCATCACGAATAATTTCTCTATCTAGACTTTTGATAACTTCTCTTTGATCTTCTATTAGCTGCTCCGCGTATGAGTTTTTCAGATAGAGATCTTTCAGAAGATCTTTCAACTCAACATTTTGCTCTGACAAAATATGTAATGCTCCTCTTGTCTGGTTTAATTCAGAGTTTGAGTTGGATAAGGCTTGCTCAGCTTCAAACAAGCGGCCTTCAAGTTTCTTGTTCTGAATGAGTGTATCATCATGTTGAGTTCTTTTGACCTGCAGTTCATGCTGAACTTTGTTCATAGCAACAATTAACTTATCAAGTTCATCCTTAATGTCCTTCCTGTGGGAAGCAAATTCTTGGAGCAAGCTGAAATCAAAAAGTAAACCTTTCAACAGAACATCTTTCCGTTCTAGTTCTCTCTTGAGTTCAGAGTTCTTATCCACAGTGTCACCATCCACCGGGTCCAACTCTTGAATTTCTTTCCTTGGAACACATGCAATCTGATATTCTTTCAGTTTCACAGGCTGAAGAGCTGAGTTAACATCTTGACTTTCATAACTTCGTTCAAGATTGTCTGCAACTAGTTCATTTGGCCTTCGGAATTTGTGCGAGTATTCTCCCATTTGGCACTGCAACACAAGTATGCTAATATCATTCTGCATTGCATTGCAGATTAATTCTTCCAAGGGAGATCTCAAGCTACAGAAGAAAACTTGCAACTCCTCAACAACTTGAATGGCATCAGCACGTGCAGTCGCAAACAGTTGCTCCACATCTGTCCGAGTTGCAAGAAAACACTCTTCAACCAAAGACAATGCGTTAGTGTTTTCTCTCAAGCTAAATTGGATATCATCATGCATTACTTCGTTCTCTCCATCTGTAGTTGCAAAAGCATTGGTGTGAAGTAATGGCAGATTTCCAGCAACAGTGAATCTAAGACCGCTTGTGGGACTATTAGATGTCCTATTTTCCACCAACATAGGAGTTTTACCTTGATTGTCAGTAATCTGATCCTTCTTGGAAATATCTTTATCTTCTCGAAACTCTTTCACTTCAGTTGAGTCATTTGTCGTTCTGGATAACTGGATTTCTTCTGGCTGCTGAAATTCAGTCAGAGCAATTGCAGCACCCTTCAAGGAGTATAATTTCTGTTCCATTTGCATCACAGTGTTTTGTGCATTTTCCAAACTCTTTTGCAGTAATAGAATAGTTTCTTCTTTTCCAACGGATATTTTAGCAGCTTTCTCAACATGTTCACTAATCCAGTTATTAGTATTCGGAAACAAAGAGGAGATACTGCTTATTTCGCGAGAAGCACCAACCAGGGATCTAGAACCATTTATGAGGAATGTTGTTAGCTCCAAGGTTGCTCTTTCCCACCCTTCACACAGCACTCTTATTTCTATCTCCTTAGCTGCCACAGTGTCTTTGAGAATTAAATTCTGTTCAGCCATAGAGCACAAGCTTACTTGAAATTCTGATTGAAGTCTATCTCTCTCTTTCTGTAGATGAATGATTGTTCTTGTGGTTTCGATTCCAACTTCATCGCGGACTAATTCAGTTTGTTGATCTTGAGATATCAGTGTTGCATTATCTTCTACATATTCCCTGTTAAATATCTGTTCAAGGCGAGTTATAGACCTCTGAAGCAGAAGGCTAGG